TTAAAACCTGATATCTGCCCTAGATATCAATTTTTTGTCATCATTCTATATGATAAAAGAATAATGAGATGAAATAAGAATATAAAATTATGGCATCTTGATGAATATTCAAGTGAATTTCAAAGTGAATTGAGCAAGCATAAAAATCAGATTGTTACCTGTGTAATTAGGTCTTGTGATGAACGATTGATTTCAAATGAAATGGAGAGGGAAACACCTTCCAAACCCCGAACAAAGGCGAAGTCGATAGTAACGTTTTCTGGCAAAAGAAAGGTGTGGCAGCGATATATATATATATATATATATATATATATATATATATATATATATATATATATATATATATATATATATATAATACGTTTGTTTGTTTTTTTCTACCTTAAAAACTATCAAGATAAATAACATAAGTTTATCTTTTATAAATATATGAGAAAAGAATAGATCAATAACTTTTAATGTTACTATTATTAATTATTATTATTATTATTATTATTATATTAACAAAACATATGTTTATTTCTCAAATGATATAATAGACTAAATATAAATAATATGCAATTGCTATAACTTTAAAGAATATAACTATTTTTTTGTTAGATGTATATTCTAAGTTAATATAACTTAATAATAAGATTCATTTCATTTTATATATATATATATATATATATATATATATATATTTATTTATTTATAACTGTTGTGGATTTATAGCATCAAGTACACAACTGATAGGTACAGAACAAACAAAAAGATATAGTTAAGTGCACATACATCATAGGATCTATGTAACATACTTTGAAATACAACAAAAGGTAAGGATGACCAACCTTAGATTCGCTTTCTTGTGATCTCGTACGTGCCAATTGATTTCAAAAATGAAGGATCCAAAAGAGCACCCCTCTAATGGAATCAGGCCTACAACACCAAACGAAAAAAAAGATTTAACTCAAGTTAGGTTTTTTTTCGAAAACCATCAAGCCCTAGGATAGTGGGTGTGATTTTCGTTCAACGAGATAGAGAGATAGAGGTTGGATGAATTTGACAGATGGAATAACTAACTCTAGAGTTTATCCTAACAGTCTATTTATAGTTGAGCAAGGAGTATTCTAGAAAGATACGAACTCTAAGGTTTATTTTTATCTGAATTAAACATGTCATATCCATATCCAAGGGAAGTAGAAATCATCTCTACTACCTCTCCATGAGGTTTTGGAATATTCCAATTATTTTCTTAGATCAATTAATATTCATCCTCCTTAATTAATTAAATCATTCTAATTAATTTATCAAAATAATTTCTAATTAGTTTATTTATTCCTTAATAAATTAAAATATTATTAATCTTTTTCTTCTTATGTTATTTGGGTCATGAGGCCAACCCAAAAAGGACTCAACTATTATTAAAAGTAATAACAAAACAGTTAATGACTTTGGTCACCATTTCCACCAATAACATTAATTTTTATATTAATAAAAAATATAAATATAAATTTATTAAATATTTGTAGTTTCATATTATGTTTTTTACTGGTTTGCACAAAAATAATTTTAAGAAAATAATTTGTTATAGAATAAAAGCATTTATACTTAAAAATGTATCATATTTTATTTTGAATTTATATTTATCCAAATTTGTTTTTTATACATATTTAATTATTTAAACTTGTTTCACTAAATAAAAACATTAATATCACTAATCAGTATACATATTTGTTTTAAATATATGTATTTGACCATTAAATTTGATTCACCAAATAAAAAGTTAATATCACTAATTGGTATAGATAATATTCTATTTTTGAATAATATAAAAGAAATTCAATTATCAAATTAGTATATATGTAATATGTTTTTTAAATATGAACCAAATTTAATAATCAAATGTATAAAAAAAGAGCACAACACGAAATAAACTTCTACCAACTTAAGTCATTAAACTGTACGTATAATATTAAACCTTTACCACTTTGTTTAGGTCAAAATAGTTTTGCTTAAAAGTTACTAAGCGTTTAGTACACAAAATTTAAAGTAGAGAAATGAAATGTATTCCACTTTTGGTTAGCATTTAAAAAGGAGAGAAAAAAAATTATTTCCATTTCCATCATATTAATTCCCCTTTTTTATAATGAAATGGAGAGAAAAAGTTATCGAGAAAAAAAAAAGCAGAGAATTGAAATCACGTGGTGAATCAAACCTTAATGGGTATGCTCCTTATTTTTCATCCATGATTCTCTTCATCTCTTCAGAAATCGATTTCTTCACAACTACCGCTTCAACAAATATCGACGGTTTCAACAAATCGATTTCTTCACGATTTAAAAAATATCGATGGCTTTGGTGTCGATCTCTTTATCCCTAATTCTTTTTTGGGTCGATATTACAAACCTAATTTGAGTAACAATTAATTACTATATTTCTATTTTGAACCATTTGTTATTCTTGGTCAATTTATTATGTTGATTATATATAAAAAAACTGAACATCAGATTAAACCTCTCAAAGTGTAATTGTAATAAAATGATCTGTAAATGTGTTTTGATCAGACCATAAGGAACATCATCTGTTATTTAATTGTTGTGAATTCCAAGTATTATTATTTTGGAGAAAATGGGGAATACTATTGCTTTTTGTTTCATTATTTTGTAAAATTTTAGCCCAACTTTGAACATGCATAAATTTCTCAAACGACCTCGAAACGAGTTGATTTTTCCTGAGATTGTTCTCATCTATCTTGGCTTCATTTGAGGAAAAATAGCTTAATTGTTTAAGATATGACTGCCTTACACAACCCTAGACAGGGGCTGTTAGAGTTGGTTTTTTTTCAACTTTTTGTAAAATTTTAGCCCAACTTTCAACAGTTATAAATCCCTCATATGACCTCAGAACGAGCTATTTTTTCTTAGGTTGTAGTCCTATGTCTTGGCTTCATTTTAGGATCAAAACGAACTTAATTGGTTCAGAACTAATTGACTTACGCAGTCCTAAACATGGTCTGTTAGAGTTGTTCGTTTTTTCCAGCATTTTGTAAAATTTTAACCCAACTTTGAACAACCATAAATTTCTCATACTACTTCGGAACGATCTGATTTTCCCTGATTGTAGACATTTGTCGTGGCTTTATTTTAGTATAAAAAAGCTTAATTGGTTAAGGATTGATAGACTTACACAACCGTAAACTAGTGCTGTTAGAGTTTATTTATTTATTTATTTTTATTTATATATTTTTTTTACAAAATTTGAAGTTCGTAACTTATACATGAACAAAACCATTCCAAATCATTAATTTAAACCATTCCAACCGTTAAAGATTTCAAACATATATCAAACTCTTCCTTATTTGTGTATATGTAGTTGACATGATCACATTTGCAATAATGGATAGTACGAAATAGAAAAATTGTTTGGGACATCCGCCGTATATGTAATGTATGTTATGGTTTGTTGGTGGATGATGTATGATTTTTCTATGAATTGTTTATGAAAAGCTACAATATTATATGAAAAATACTTAATGAGTTACCACAATGGACGTGATAGTAAATATAAAAGACCTAAAAATGATGACGCTGACAGCTATTATAAGAAAGTAGTGGAAGAAGTAAAAGAGACTTTCAATGAGGCTGGTGATAAACTTAATGAAACAATATACAATATAGGAAGACAAGAAAATAAAGAAGGATACGATATGATAGATAAAGTTATCGAATATATACATCGTATGCCATATATTAATGTCAAACAACGAATTAAGGAGATTGACATATTTAATAAAGATAAATTTTTCACCCATTCATTTTTTAAGATGACGGTAGATGAAAAAGTTTGTTATGTTGAAATGAGTGTGGATGGCTCAATAACATGATTGTCCATTTTAAGTTATATTTTTTTAGTTGTTACAAATATTGAATTTGACTTGTTGCATATATATTATTGGAAATTAATGTACCGCCAGGTCCGCCTTCCATCTTTCACCCTTGCATTAGTTTTACCCGAGCGAATAGATTGACTTGAACAATACAAACAAACCGTAAGTTGGTCGGCCGGGATGAGATCCCGGACAACGCTCTGACGGTTAAGTTAGCGAAAGGCTATATTATCGATCGATTATAGGAGAGTTAAACAAGTGGAGTAAGTATGACTTTTGTGTACATACCTCCTTGACGAGTCAGATTACCTATTTATAGTGAAGGAGGAAGAGCTAACGAGTTATTCCCGTCTCGACCTTGCCATGCCAACTTATCGCATTTATGGCATTATGCTCGAAGGTACGACTAGTTGTACTTTGTATGCCGTTACACAGCTGTCATATGGCAGTCATATGGCTGTGCCAGGATTCATCAGCCGCACATCCCGGTACAAACTGTATTCGCGTGGTTTCAATGTACTATTGCTACGGTTTTGACGTCACTTTGTACATTATCGTTAGCCTCTCTTTTTCCTTTCGAGTCTTCATGCCAGTTCGGTATATAAGTAGGCAACTTCGAGACATATGGTGCGGGTGACTTCGAGCGACCTTGCAACATTCTGGTTCGGTATATTCGGGAAGGATATAGGTATTTCCAGACTATATCCTATTAAGTCCCCCTAGTTTGTATCTCTATGTAATCGGTGGAGTAGGGATGCAAACTTTGGAAGAAACGACATTATAGCCGTTGTAATCAGATAAGGGCGAAAAACTCGTGAATTAACTACGACGTGATGTGTTGACGGTTATGCTAGTCCTTGTGATGATCCCTATAACCGTTTTTTTGTCTTCCTTTTCGTTAATAGGAGTACAGTACCCACCAACCACATTGTCTACTCCTTAATCTTCATACCTTCTAGACTTACTATAAATATTTGGTATTGAATCATCCGTTTCATCATTCGCCATTTTAGTTACACTCATTCTCCTTCTTTTGTCAACCTTTTCTCTCATCTCCTTTTTCTTTTCTGAATATGGTGAGTACTGGGATTTCTCACATTGGGACGGTAAAATCCAAGTTAACTGTCGGACTATGGGTATGCTCGTTCGGAAGTATAAAATTGACCCCAAATTCCATCCCTGTCCGCCGGAGGCCACCGATGCCATCACCGACGCCTCTAAAGGCTTTGTGGGGGTTTACCGGGTGTTCTTCAAATCCGGGTTGCGACTTCCTGCTTTCGATTTTTTAGAGACTGTTCTGGATTATTATGGTCTGCGCATCACCCAAATAACCCCTAGCGACTTTCGCAAGATCCCTTGCTTCACTCTATTATGCGTCGCTCGGGATGTGTCACCGACCATCAACTTGTTTCGCCATTTCTATATTCCGATGTCCAACGGGGATTGGGTTTCTTTCGCCCTTCGCCATGGTTTTGTGGAACTTTTTGACGGTCTTCCAACCTCCATAAAGTATTGGAAGGAGGAGTTCTTTTTCATTCATGCCTCTGCTTTCTCAAGCCCCATGGCGTATGGCGATATTGCTGACAGGGCCACTGACCCCATCCCGGAGCTATCTTCCGACGATCAATTGATAACAGAGAGGTTATCAGACAATTTTGTTCGATGGGTGGGCCCCAACGAAGAGATGATGGGTATGGCTAGCATGAGTCCCCATTGGAACCATTTGGGTAAGAAGTCGGTGGAGGTGTTCGAGGGAAAAGATGTAACCCTTCTTGACCGACTTCACCGGAGACAGATTGCGAATTCCACCCTAGTGATGGAGGAGGTGCTAGCGTCGGATTCCCCGACTAGGTCAGAGTCTAGCATGGAATCTGCCCTAGATGTTTCTCGAGCAGAGGGTTCTAGACCTATTCCTCCTAACCTTCGCTCGAAGGTCGTGAAATTGGATTCCGATTTTTGCAAACCTCACACGGTGTTTGTCACACCCCGGAACCAGACGGCGGAAACGTCCGAGGGCTCGTGTGACTTAAATTGAAATATCATCACAATGAATATACATGAAACTAAACACATACATCACCAACATTACATAGTACAACTGCCATTGTTCACATCCAGTACATTGTATAAATATTACATATTCATAACATGAATTGTTTGAGAGTCACAAAAACATAATATTCTAGCACACTTGATGATTTTTCTTCAGCTTATCTGTTACCTGAGAATACAAGTTATTTTGAAAACGGTCAACATATATAATGTTGGTGAGTTTATAAGCATGTTTGATATAAAAATAGTTTGTAGTGTTTGTAAAACCCAGAAAATCCGATATTTTCTGTAACAAAAACTGTTTACGAAAAAGATTTGATGATCCCATAAGTGTATATGTATGTGATTTCAAAACATGTAAAAGTGAATGCCTTTCATAATTGTTCCTTGCATTGTAGTTGTTGTATGTAGAAGTGAATAATGTCGTTCCCCGGAAAACCCGATGTTTTCTAATTTAAATAGTATGATAGTTTTTTATTATTGTATGGATCACTTTGCATCGTCACAGTGTATGAATATGATTTCCCATGAATACTTAGATGGTAATGGATCTCTATGTGAGTCCTTATAACCATGCATAATAATGACTAATTCGTCTGTCTTGGCATTTTTCCAAACGCCGGTTTTGATCAAGATTTTGTCACCCTAGACTGGCCGAGTCTAACTGTAGCGAACAGCTCAGGTGTGGGGGAGTCACCCCCGCATAGATCTATACACAAACTCTCGCTCTCCCTCCAGGAGTCTCTGATTATAACTACAGGCTACGGCCGACACTTATTGGTGCCACCCGTTATTTCTCACTAAATCCCAATGAAATTGAATAACATTGTTTTACAACCCGATTGATGTTTACGTTGATATAAAGTAAGCCTAACAGACACGAAAGAAGACAACGGGGTCCACTAATTATGTATGTTATTATAGACTGTCGAGTATGCTACGGACACGTTATAGCCCATTAAGCATATGATGAACCTTTAGGGCCCTATTAGCGATGCAAATGGGCCACTAAGGCCCAATAGCATGTTAAAGCTGATAAAGGCCCATTGGGCACGTAATTGGGTCACCAAGTCCCAATAAACATGTTTGAATATATTGGGCCCAATAATCATGAAATTGGGTCACAAAGGCCCAATAGCACGAACAGAAGATTTTTGGGCCCAATCATTGTATCATTTATCTGTTTATTGATTTTAAGTTCGTAGTGCAAGTTTTGTTGTATGCCAAATGTTTATTCTTGATGTTAAAAACACTTTGATGTTTGATTACAACGAAGCTTTGGTTATGTATATATGTATATATATCTATAAACATTTTAAAAACCATGCGTTATAAATTTTATATTCTTGGCCCAATAATTTAAATATTAGCCTATTTGACCCAAAAAATATTGATTTTGACCAATTCAACCACTTTATTAGTAAAACTGACACTTTTAGTCCCTTTTGATGAAAATTGACATTTTTTATCCTTAAGCCATTTTTCTTGACATTTTCAGCCCAAACATAATTCAAATAATAATTTCAGCCCAAAACTATTGTATTTGCCATTTCCAGCCCTTATTTGTAAAAAGTTTACAATTTTGACCCAAATTTCGTAAGTTTTACATTTTTGACCCCAAAATCCAAAACTTTGCATTTTTAGTCAAATTGTTGCATTAAAGTCATTTTCAGCCCCCGAAATAGTTTATTTATGTTTTAGACTCATATTTTGATAAACTTACAACTTCAGCCCCCAAAACTCTACCTTTTTCGCAATTTTGGGCCCAAAAACCCATAAGGCCCAAATGTAAGCCCAATAAACTAAAATTTATATTTTTGACCCCTTCAGAAGTATTCTTTCCATGAAAATCAGATTTTTTTTTGTAAATAATACTATTTTATCCTTATAAAACCGAAAATATCATATTTTACCCAAATCTTTGTTATTTTTGCAAAAATGACACTTATAAAGATTTTTGGCTTTGTTTTCACTTCTTAAGCCTAAAGACTCTTAGATCTTTGAAGTATGTTGTTTATTATGTTATTTGTTTATGTATCCTTCACACTTTAGCCATAGATCTCGAGATATAACAAATAATATCACATTTTCACAACACAAACCAAAGTAATCACATATAACATGCAAATACACATAGATCAACACATAACACTTGTATTCTCCCCCAAAAACAAGTAAAAACCAAAAACAAGGGGGTATGAACTCACCTTGCTTAGTTGTTCTCGGTTTTGAAGAAGAAATGGAAGAAGGTGATGTGGTTTTCGGCCTTAGACACTTCCTTGAAGAGAACTTTCGAACTTTGAGGTTTTCTAGGAAGTATGATCACCAAATGAAGTCATATAAGGAGTTGTTCTTAGATTAAGAATGGAAACCAAGACTTATGTATAACAATAACTTACCAATGATGGTGATATAAGTGAATGATCTTCTTGGATAATTACCATTTTTGAGATTAATGATGGGAGCGAAAGATTTGAGAGATTTTCTTGAAAAGTTTGAGAGAGTTTGAAATGAAGTTGAAGGTGGTGAGGCTGTGTGTTCGGCCGAAGGTAGAAAAAGAAGAGGGAAGAAGAGAGAGAGAGTGAAGTGATAGATGCATGGGGATGTGAGAATGGTTCATGGATATCCCACATACAATTTTGAGGTGTCACCCCCCCCCCTTAATCACCCATTAATCTCATTTATCTCTTTTATTTATCTTGGGCCGAAATCTTGGGCTAGGAGGAAGGAGGTAAATTAATTTGGCCCACTTCTTATCTTAGTTCGAAATTATGAGGCCCATAAAGAAGATTTCGGACCATTGGGCCTTTAGGGTAGTTTACGGCCCAATTTGCATAAAAGAATGAGTTTTATGGTGCATTAGGGTTATTTTGTTTTGTTATGACCCAACAAGGCTTATTGGAGTAGTTTATTCCATTTTAGGCCCAATATGGCCCAAAATGTCAAATCTCATGAAGGTGGGTTGAATTAGAGCCCAATTAAGGGTTCTAAGCCCAAACTAGTCAAATTGGAGAGTTATTGGTCCATTAGGCCCAATAAGGAAATCCTAGTCCATAATGGACTTAAACCGGGATTTTTAGGGTTTCCAATCTTTCGTTGACCATTTGAAGTGTTTGTATAGAGTGTTTGATGAAATTTTGTTGTCATTGAATAAACATCATGCATTGCTTTCAAGTTTTGGTTACAATTTTGTCATTATTAATGTTTACAAAAGCATAGAATTTTCCTTGTTGTGACATCATCCCCCCGTTAGAGGGAATTTCGTCCCGAAATTCTTTTTGAAGCTAGATTTGAGAATGCGAGAATAAGTGAGGGTACTTTTGCTTCATCTGGTCTTCGCGTTCCCATGTGAATTCTGGTCCACGCTTTGCGTTCCATCGAATTTTCACAATTGGAATGCGACTTTGCTTAGTACGCTTCACTTCCTCGTCCACGATTTCAACTGGTTCCTCGATGAACATGAGATTCTCGTTGATTTCGATTTCTTCCAATGGGATGACAAGAGTTTCGTCGGATAAGCACTTTTTCAGATTGGAAACATGGAACACAGGGTGTACGTTGCTGAGCTCGATAGGTAGCTGCAGCCTATAGGCCACTGGACCGATTCGGGCAAGAATCTCGAATGACCCAATGTATCGTGGGTTTAGTTTCCCCTGTTTCCCAAAACGAATCACCCCTTTCCAGGGAGAGACCTTCAATAACACCCGATCCCCGACTTGAAATTCTAGGGGCTTTCGCCGTGCATCATCATAGCTCTTATGTCGGTCTCGTGATGCTTGAATTCGAGCTCTAATTTGAACTATCTTTTCTGTTGTTTCACGTATGATTTCTGGCCCTGTTAAAGCATTGTTTGGTGTCTATCCTCTTGCTAGCTGAGTGTCACCTACCTCAGCCCAGCACAACGGTGATCTACATTTACGACCATATAATGCTTCAAAAGGAGCAACTTTGATGCTTGTGTGATAACTGTTATTGTATAAAAATTCAATTAAAGGTAAGTGGGTATCCCACGACCTTCCAAAGTCTATCACACATGCTCGAAGCATATATTCAAACGTTTGAATGGTTCGCTCACTTTGACCATCCGTATGTGGGTGGTAAGTAGTGCTCATGTCAAGTTGTGTTCCCATAGCCTTCTGAAGTGATTGCCGAAAGCGTGAATTGAATCTACTATCTCGATCTGAGATGATAGATATTGGCACTCCATAGAGTCTCACAATTTCCTTGATGTAGATTCTAGTCAATCGTTCCATCTTGTATGACTCCTTTATCGGCAGGAAATGGGCGGATTTTGTCATCCTATTGACTGTTACCCATATGGCATCCAATCCATCAGTTGTCTTGGGTAATTTGGTCACAAAGTCCATGGTAATCCTTTCCCATTTCCACTCGGGTATTACCGGCTGTTGTAATAGTCCCGAGGGCTTTTAATATTCTACCTTCACTTTAGCGCAAATGAGGCACTTGCTAACGTAAGTGGCAATTTCTGCCTTCATGTTAGGCCACCAATAATGTTGTTTGATATCCAGGTACATTTTATCTGAACCCGGATGGATGGAGTATCGTGTCTTATGAGCCTCATTCATGACTACCTCTCTGAATCCCCCAAGTTTAGGGACCCAAATTCGGTTCATGAAATAATATGTTCCATTCTCCTTGACTTCGAAGTACTTTTCCATTCACGTAACACTTCGCTTGTTTTGTTTTCTGTCTTCATGGCATCAAACTGGGGTTCTTTGATTTGTGAGAATAAATAGGATTGAATGGTTATTGAAAGAGTTTTCACACGACGATTCGAGTATTCTTTTCGACTCAAGGCATCAACTACCACGTTAGCCTTGCCTGGGTGGTACTTGATTTCACACTCATAATCGTTTAGCAGCTCAACCCATCTTCGCTGCCTCATGTTTAACTCTTTTTGATTTAAAATGTGTTGGAGGCTTTTGTGGTCGGTGAAAATGGTGCACTTTGTACCATAAAGGT